ACGGTGGCGTGCTCATTTAAATGTTAATGACAATAATTATTTTTTTAATTAAAATTAAATATTTATGATTTCTTTTTGTTCCCGTCTATAAGAGAAATAATTATTTTAATAAAATAGTATGGCATTTTACTAAAATAGTAAGTAAATAACTCTCAACAATTTAAAATAAAGTTTGCTTGTCTTATAAAATATGTAAACACACAAAATGGAGAAAATGTTTTCATACGTCCATGATGTTATCAAACGCAAGATCAACTTCGTGATGCTTCGTAAGAGCACCCTTAAGCTAGCGGGGACACATGAGCGGAATCCATTTTAACCTACGTAATATTTTTTCACCCATTTTTCACTAATTTATTACCACCCTAATAATTTATCACCACCAAACCAACCTTAAGGGGAGCGATTCTGCTGGCTTAAGGTTCAAGCTAGCAGAATTTGGAAAAAAAACTTTTTGTTGATGGCATATTTTTTCACCCATTTTTCACTAATTTATTACCACCCTAATAATTTTTCACCACCAAACCAACCTTAAGGGAAGCGATTCTGCTGGCTTAAGGTTCAAGCTAGCAGAATTAAAAAAAAAAACTTTTTGTTGATGGCATATTTTTTCACCCATTTTTCACTAATTTATTACCACCCTAATAATTTTTCACCACCAAACCAACCTTAAGGGGAGCGATTCTGCTGGCTTAAGGTTCATGCTAGCAGAATTCAAAAAAAAAACTTTTTGTTGATGGCATATTTTTTCACCCATTTTTCACTAATTTATTACCACCCTAATAATTTTTCACCACCAAACCACCCTTAATGGGAGCGATTTTGCTGGCTTAAGGTTCAAGCTAGCAGAATTAAAAAAAAACTTTTTGTTGATAGCATATTTTTTACCCATTTTTCACTAATTTATTACCAGCCTAATAATTTTTCACTTCCAAACCACCCTTAATGGGAGCGATTCTGCTGGCTTAAGGTTCAAGCTAGCAGAATTCAAAAAATAAACTTTTTGTTGATGGCATATTTTTTCAACCATTTTTCACTAATTTATTACCACCCTAATAATTTTTGACCACCAAACCAACCGTAAGGGGAGCGATTCTGGTGGCGTAAGGTTCAAGTTAGTAAAATTAAAAAAAAAAACTTTTTGTTGATGACATATTTTTTTTCCCATTTTTCACTAAATAATTACAATCCTAATATTTGTTCAGAATCAAACCACCCTTAAGGGGAGCGATTCTGTTGGCTTACGGTTATACCATACCATACCATATACCATATTGTTCTGCTAGGTTTTTACAAATGTATTACAACCCGAGTAATTTTTCACCCCTTAACTACCCCTTGTGAAAAGTCAATAATTGTGTTAGATTAAAATTTACGAAGAAATTTTTTCCTCTTTTCTACTTATAACTGAAATAAAAAAAGTGGTTTGTTAAGTTTTTACTATACTTTGACCATCCTAATAATTTTGCACTTCTAAACTAATCTTATTTAAAAATGTTCCTGCTAGCTCAATATTTGAACCAGCAAAATCAGAAAAAAATTATTTTTTTTTAATATCACAGTGTTTTGCTAGGTTTTTGCGAATTTATTTCCACACTAGCAATTATTCACCCCTCAACTGCCTCCTATGGGAAGTCAATAATTCTGTTAAACTTTAAGGTGAAAAATATTCTTTTACAATGTTACTCTTCGCTACTTATAACTGAAATAAAAAAGTGTAATGTTAAGTTTTTCGGCAGAGATCTTGTTCTTTAAATTTTAGGGTGCTTACACTTCATCCATAATCCAATGAGACCTAATGTTATTTCTGTAGATCGGTTTTATAGAATAACAACAGTCATATACTTTTTAATTATAAAATGACTGCTCTGTATTATCCAGTAAAAGAATTACCACTAGATGAATCGATGGTACCGTGGAAAGTTAGACTTAGTTTTAAACAATATATTAAATAAAAAACACATAAAAGACAGTATGAAGGTTAGAATTAATTCGTAAATTAATTCATAAAAAAAGTAAAGAAAGACGGAATATCGTACGCGAACATTTACCTATAAATAATTGATATAGAATTATTAATATAAAAAATTAATAATAAAAAGATGCAGAGTAAGTACTATCCTAAACATTAGAAAAAACCCAATTTATGAGTATGTGAACTGTCCCGAGAAACCAGATCTCTCCTTGGTCGATTCTTCTAAACATTTCCATAAACAAAATAAACAGGTTAATATTTTTTGAAATACCCTTTAATTTCTAGTTATATTCAACTGACAATGAATGAAAATTCGACAAAGAATTAAAAAAATACAAATATCTTTAAATTTTTAAAATGCTGCTAATTTAAATTTAATTTACTACGCAAATAATCTATAACAGCTGTTCTGACCAACCGGTAATTTTCGATTTATTTGAATATACCTACTTAAAATATTTATATCCTAAAATGTTTTCCAAGATAAATTCTTTGTGCTATAGGTACACATAATCTTAAAAATATGTTTTGACCAATCGTTAATACTCTTCTTATTTGAATAATATTAAATACCTAAATTATTTTTCAAATTTTCATGTACCTACTGAATACAAATCTTTTAATCTCTTAACAATAGATACGCACGGTCCCGACCCTTCTTTTCAATTAGTTAAATAATATAATAGACGTAATAAAATTATTTCAATTTGTGTGTTATGTTATTTTGAATGTTTATTACCTGGTAATACCTGGAATGTTAGTTTGAATTACCTGGTAATTTATTCTGTGAAATATAAAAATTCTATTGTATTGACTAAAACTCAACTCGATTTCAGTTATTTTATATTCATAAAGGGTTCAAATTTATAGTTTTTTGGAATAAAGTATTTTCAATATTTAAACACTAAAAAAATAAAAAATTGTTAGCATAGAATAAGATTTGAAAATGTTTTTCAATTAGAGTAGTTGAGAAAAACATGACTAGGTTGGTAAAAATATAGTAAAAATCTAGGAGAGCACTCTTGTGTTTCCAAAAAAAGTTTTTTTATTCACCTAGCCTCAATGTGTAGCTTTTTGAATGTTTCCCGTTAACTGAGGCTCAGGGGGTCAAAAATTATAAGGGTGGATCAAATTCAGTAAAAACCTGGCAAGCAATTTATAAAATCAGTTAAAAGTAGAATACAGTTAAATTATAGAAATAGATTTTTTATCACCTTAAATTTTAACCTAGCAGAATTATTGATTCCGGATTGGGAGGGTAGTTAAAGGGTAAAAAATTACTAGGATGCTAATATATTAGTACAAATCTAGCACAATACTATCGTATCTCATATTTACGAAAAAATTTGCTTTGTATTTAACTAGCGTAAATGTTTAGATGGTAGAATTGTAGACAAAAATCTATTTGCCACAGAAAAGAGTAAAATTATAAAACAATACTTTTTCAATAGCAGAATTATTAACTTCCAACAAGGGTTAGGCGAGGGATAAAAAATTACTAAGTTGGTATAGAATACTATAATATTTCAAAAATACGTTTTTTTCTAATTTCGCTGGTTCGAATATTGAGCTAGCAGACAAGTTTCCGAATAGGTTTATGGGAGCAAAATTATCAGGATGGTCAAAGTTTAGTAAAATCTTAACTAAACACTTTTTTATTTCAGTTATAAGTAGAGGAGAGTAAATTTGAAAAACAAATTCTCCTTTAATTTTAATCTATCACAATTATTGACGTTTCACAAGGGGTAGTTAAGGGGTGAAAAATTGCTAGGGTGGTAATAAATTCGTAAAAACCTATCAAAACACTATGGTATGTCGTACATATTTATTTTAATTCTGCTAGTTGGAACCGTAAGCCAGCAAAATCGCTCCCTTTAAGGGTGGTTTGATGGTGAAAAAATATTATGATGGTAATAAATTAGTGAAAAATGGGTGAAAAAACATGCCATCAACAAACAGTTTTTTTTTTAATTCTGCTAGCTTGAACCTTAAGCCAGCAGAATCGCTCCCCTTAACGTTGGTTTGGTGGTGAAAAATTATTAGGGTGGTAATAAATTAGTGAAAAATGGGTGAAAAAATATGCCATCAAGAAAAAGTTTTTTTTTTTGAATTCTGCTAGCTTGAACCTTAAGCCAGCAGAATCGCTCCCATTAAGGGTGGTTTGGTGGTGAAAAATTATTAGAGTGGTAATAAATTAGTGAAAAATGGGTGAAAAAATATGCCATCAACAAAAAGTTTTTTTTTTTAATTCTGCTAGCTTGAACCTTAAGCCAGCAGAATCGCTCCCCTTAAGGTTGGTTTGGTGGTGAAAAATTATTAGGGTGGTAATAAATTAGTGAAAAATGGGTGAAAAAATATTACGTAGGTTAAATTGGATTCCGCTCATGTGTCCCCGCTAGCTTAAGGGTCCTCTTCGTAAGAAATCATGAACTTCGTGTATCTTCGTATCAAAACAATAAACAATAACAAAGGTATTCATATTGTGGACACTTTTTAAAGCGTTCACCGGGTCTATATATTATACGTCATTGAATATAAACAAATACATAACCTCACAAATCATATGTCGATAAAGACCCATTACACCAAATCTGATTCTCAATCCGAGTCTGTGTTCTGTGTTTCCTTCTAAAACATGGCGTGCGTGCTGAAAAACTTCAAAGGCGGCATCTGAGAGTAGACATCCTGATTGTTTATTATTCTGTGCATAAACAAACAAAGTTAGGTTAGAATCGACGTGTGAGGTTGTCCGATACTGATTACTGGATACCGCAAGGCCGAGATAATCAACCAAAAAAGAAAATATATTTGGTGACTTTTCTAGTAACTTTCTTGAGTGTGAATCTGTCTTTTTAGTTTACTCCTCCTGGTTAAAAAACAAAGCATAGTATCAAATTGCTTCAAATGCCGATTCGTGTAAATAGTTTTTTTAATATTTCAAATATTTTCTTAATTTATGTAATCATATATTCTTTATTTAAAAATTAAACATAAACGTAATATACAAGTAAACTATTTTTTTCAGATTGTACGATCAGGACCGACAGAAGTAACCCTGCGAAATATAAGTAGGGAAATGACAGGTGACTACAAGTGTGAAGTTTCAGCTGACGCTCCTCTTTTTCATACGGATATTCAATCTGCTCATATGACTGTAATAGGTAAGCGTTTTATTTCAATAATAATGTGTTACTTTAACATACCGACAGAGATGTTAAAGCTTATAAATGAGGAGAACATTGGAATACTGGTCAAGCTTTTCAATGATGTTTATTCGACTGGTGATATCCCTGAAGATTGGTTAAAGCCCAAATTCATAACACTACCAAAAAAACAACGCCCGAAAAACTGTAACGATTATAGAATGATAAGCCTTATTAGCCACACTTTGAAAATATTTATACGCATCATCCACAGTAGAATCAGAGATAAATGGGAAGAAGACCAGGATGGAACACAATTTGGCTTCAGAAATGGACTGGGAACTCGGGACGCCCTCTTTGCACTAAATGTATTACTGCAGAAATGTCGAGATCAAAGTAAAGACGTCTTTGCTGTATTTATTGACTATGAAAAGTCCTTTGATCTAGTACATCATCACAAATTAATTACAGCATTAACAGATAAAGGAGTTGATAGTCAAGACATACGATTCATAGAAAAGTTATACTGGCGTCAAACAACGACGGCTTGCATAAACGGAAAATCAACAGAAATATGTAAAATACAAAGAGGTGTCAGACAGAGTTTTATACTATCCCCCTGTTATTTAATTTATATTCAGATAGAATATTTAAAAAAGCGCTGCATAATTTGGAATGGGGCGTGAAAGTTAATGGAATACAGTTATTTTAAGTGATGATATGAATGGACTACAATGCCTTTTAAATGCCATTGATACAGTGGGAAGAGAGTTTGGCCTAAACATAAACTGTTTAAAAACAAAACACATGCTGTTTAGCCGTTTAGCACAAGATGGACGATTATATGTCGATGGTCATATAATTCAAAGAGTGTCCAGTTTTAATTATCTTGGTTGCCATATTACTGAACAACTAAATCCAGATCAAGAGATAAAATGTAGAATCGAGATAGCCCGCACGACATTTTTAAACATGAGGTCATTCTTCTGTAATGATAACTTGTAACTTCAATTTCGAAAGCGCATGGTTAAATGCTACATTTGGTTAATCCTCTTGTACGGTGTCGAAGCATGAACATTAAAAATATCCACCATTAATCATCTGAAGGCCTTTGAAATGTGGCTGCACAGACGTATACTAAAAATTCCACGGACGGCTATGCTGACAAATGTGGCATTCCTTGAGAGAGCAAATGCTGCTCGCGAGCTGCTTGATAACATCAAATGTAGAAAGACGGCCTATTTTGGACACGTAGTAAGGGGAGACCGATATAATATTCTTTAACTTATTATGATGAGTAAAATCGAAGGACGCAGAGGAATTGGTAGAAAGTAGGCCCCTTGTTTGAAGAATATCAGGGAATGGACATGAATAAGGAAAGCTGAGCATCTCTTTAGCATAGCTCGAGACAGAGACAGTTTCGCCATGTTAATCGCCAACGTCAAGGGGACTTGATAGGGCACGTTAAGAAGAAGAATGTGTTACTCCACAAATTTTTGTAGTAATTATATTACTGTTACGGTTTATGAATAAATCGGCCCCAAAAATCTTTCTAAGAATTTTTCTCTCAAAAATACCAAGAAGTCTTTCATCATTTTGAGATAAGGTCTACGTTTCAGACCCATATTAAAACCGGTCTTATAAAGGTCTTGTATATATTGAGCTATATTGTATTGTATTTTATTTTTTTAATGTTTCTGGAGACCGTGAGCAGTTCTGTTTGGTGTTGCTATGCCTCTTTTTATTTCGTCGATTGTCGTGTTTGTTGTGTTTACTAACGATCCAAGATATGTGAATTGTTTGATTTGCTCAAAGGTGTATGGTTATTAATTTAAATTCTCTGTTGAACATTTCGGGGGTTTTTAGAACCAACATATATTTGTTTTTTTACTGGTTAACAACAAGTCCTAATTCACTTGCCACTTCCGCAAGCTTTGTAAAATACTGCATTATGTATCTCATACTTCTGCCCACTATAACTATATCTTTAGCGAATGAGAGAATTTGCATCGATCTATTAAACAAAGTTCCATTCATTCTAGTATTTAATTGTCTGATTGCCTTTTCCAAGGCAATATTAAAAAGGAGATGCGCCAGCGTGTCACTCTGTCTTAGACCATAATTATTGTCAAAGAATGTAGGATTTTCTCTTTCAATTCTAACGCATTAGCTTACGTTTTGCATTGTTAGTTAGGTCAACTTTACTACCTTAGGTGGGATCCCAAAATCTATCATTGTATTATATTAGTTTGTAAGAAGAGTCTTCTTACAAACTCATTCTGATGACGAGTAGACCCATAAACACGTGTCAGGGAGTGGTAAGAGACTCAAATTAAATCGAAACGCAACCTTCGTAGATGATTGATAAAATTAATTAAGGTACCTATTAATTTAACTTTCATGACGAAAGAACGAAACATTTTCAAATCGATTTTTCTAGTAAACGATTTATCTTACCGACTTAAAGTACCTTTGAGTTCTAGAATACCTAAAAATTTAATAATCTAGTATAACGAATGCTTAAAAGTAAAAGATAAAAAATGTATGCGTTAAAATAACCGTCCGCGAACGGACGCCTATGACCGGTACTAGAAATTAGCAATTGGTGAAATCGATTCAACTCTGGATGAAAAATAATTGTACCAGTTTTCGTTTTTTAACTAGAAGCGTTCTGGAGGAATTAAAAAAACTATTTGCAAGGCACTATTTTCAATAAAGCTCCAGCTCCTTTAGGCAGCATTTTCGGACTAGATGAATTGTGTTAAATTGTCTTAAAATTATCTGAGGAATCTCCAGTATTCGTTTGTCTGGAGAGTTGCTGGACAACCTGTATAAATATAGTATGCAAATTTGAAATGATTACGAATACATATAGTGATTTTGTGATCATTTAAAGGCATTACATTGCCTACCTTGATATTTATTTCGTTGAACAATTGTCTTCTAAGCGTCCAAACTTATTTTTATCGGTGCTCTCATTTTGTTTTTTGAGAGTATAACATGGATTAATTGTCTTAGAACCTTTTGTCTATCGACTCCTTAATTTATCGATACTACAGTATTACTACTATTTAAAACTTACTGTCTTTTTGAAACACCCTCTATAAATGCAATAACCATTCTCTTTACATAGTCACACTCTACCACACACTATTCTCTTTGTTTCAGATCCACCGAAAAGCAATCCTAGGTTGATAATAGAGGAGCCTCCCGAACCAACGATAAAAATCGAGATTGGAAAGAGCGTAAGGGCAGGGTGCTCTGCCCCCTGGGGGCCCAACAGCCAGCTTCCACCGAACATCACGTGGTTTCTTAACGACGAACAGGTGAGTGCATCGGGCGACGAATTTTTATTTTATTTTCTCTCTACATGGGTGTTTCATAGTTTTCTAATAAATAAGAATATAATAAATGCTTAGGGTAGTTTAAAAAGAGTTTTAGAAGTTTTTTAAAGGTTTCTGAAGTTTATACAAATTTTTATTACTAGATTTTTAAAGTTTTAATATTGTCACAGCCGGAGGTGATTATTTGATCGCAAAAAGGCTTTATATCTACAGTTTATTAAGTTTATTATACCTTGAACATTATTTGCTGAAAACTTGTAGGTAAAAGTTAAGAAAATGGTTTATTCGGCTTAAAAATAGTAGAAAAATTATAAGCTCGCCAAAAATACGAGTAAAAGTAGCGGTAGAAGAAGCTAAAGCAGAAAGTTTCAAAAAAATAAATGATAATGTCTAAAAATAGCACGTACCTACTGAAATTAGCTGGTTAATTATTTAAAATAATAATTAATGGAATAGAATATTATTAATTTTAAAATAAGGAAAACACAGCCTAACTCATAAATAGTTTTCAATTCAGAAAAAACTTATTTACAGTTTAAATACTGTATGTGACAGAAAAGCTGCGTCTGGTCAGTTTCTGCGCTACGGGACTGTAAAAAGAGAATGTAGGACCGCTGTAGACGTGTTCAACAGGGCAAAGTTGCATCTTAAGCACTATAGTACAAGTCACAGTCAGAATGTAGCGCAAATAGAATAGGCAACGTATTTCTTACAGAAGAAGGGTCCGACCACGTTGCCGGTTTGCCACAAGCGGCGCATCAGGACCGGATTTAAGAATCAGCTCTGGAATATACGCATACACAGCAATTGCCTACGGTTGTATAAATGAATCTGTTTCAAATAAAGCATGTTTCAATCATCGATATATAAATAAGAGCGTTACATTGTCGAACTAAACAATAACTTTAAATTATTTATATTTATCAATTAACAATGGCTTCCATTGTAAACACATTCCTTGGGAAATAAAGATCATTATAATGTCATTACAAGAAGATCAGATTTAATCACCATTGTCCAAGCAAATGTCTCTTTGTCGATTACTGGCCACTAGACCAAAAGTTGTTGGCAAAAAACTATGAAAGCTCAGTTCTATTTCCTTTTCGTAAGCGGATGAAAGTACCTACGTAATGGAGCCGTTACCTGTATCTGCCGTGAATTTCAAACAGGATCTGCCTCTTATTATACAAGTAAAACGTATGGTATTGAATGTATTGAACTATCATCTGAACTTACAAAATGGTAACAGCTTCACCATTACTGTAGAAAAAGTTTCGAAAATGTGTGGTGTGAGTGCAACATTTTTAATCCACGAAGAGACCCAGCAAGGCGAACTAAAACCGATACAAAAAAAGAAAAACAGTTTCCAGTCCAATTCACACGAGAATACTGAAAATGAGGGAGTAAAATTTCGAATTAGGTATATTTTCCATGGTTTTTTTTTTGAAAAACATACCACCAACCGTCGACAACATAATGAATAGAGCGAAGGATGATGAGAACCTACCAGCTTTTTCAAAAACCACATTTCGTAGGCTACTAAATGACATATGTTTTGAATATGGTAAAAGAGGTCGAGATTTGATAATGATATAAAGAAAAGATATTATATCCTGTAGACACACGTACCCCAGACAAATAAAAACATTGAGGACGAAGGATAATGTAAACCTTGTTTAACTGATGAGTCTTGGACTAACGTCGGTGCTTTAGTCAAAAAGGAATGGAGGGACACAACGATCAAGAATCCAAGAAATTCTTGGTGGACCAAAAAGGGCTCTCTACTGGACTGAAAGCTCCAACCCAAAGAGGCCCTTGGTTTGTTGTTCTTTATGCTAGAAGCGAAACTGGTTTTGTGGCATGTGCCAAATTACCTTTCTTGTCTTGGCCAAGAAGGATATCACTGACTATCACGACAAAATGAACAGGGATCTGTATGAAGAGTGGTTTGAAAAGCCGTTAATTCCAAACTTTTTGAAAGACAAGTAAAACGTTGACGTTTTGGATAATGCGTCATACCACTCCCTCAAATTTGATTGTCCAAAAAGTTGAAAAAAAGGCAAATCAAGGATTGGCTAATCGAAAATAACAGTGTATTCGATATACCTAACAAAGTGAATTACTGGATACTCTGGCCTTATTTAGAGATGAGTACAACGAGTACAAAATTGTAACAATTGCGGAAAAATATTGCGTTAATATTTTGAAACTGACGCCCCACCATTAAGAACTCCACATCAAGAAAGTAGAAGAAAAAATGTTTTGTCCTGATTTCTCAGTCTATCGTCAAACTACCACCACGTACCGCAGTGCCGACATGAGCGGCATCACTGCGCGCCGTAAAGCCAACACTGCATTCTAACTGTGGCTTCTACTATAGACTATACATCTGATCATATCGAGGTCTTATTAACTACTGCGTAGTTCTCTGTGTGAAGGAACAAACCCCGTACTTAAAGATTCTCGATCGATAAAAATATAAATAATACTGTAACGCCGACCCTGACCAACCAAAGAACCAGTTTTTACCGCCAAGAATTCGAAACTTCTCTATCTGGCGCTATTATGTCTAAAAAAATTTCTAGAAGCAAAGGCCGATTTTAATAAAGTTCCAGAACGAGTTAATATGTATATAAATACTCAAAATATAAATGTTAGTCTCAAATACATATCGAGTCAAGTTTTCAAATGTAACGCGGGTATTGTCGGAAATATAAAATGTATAGCGGTTATAATTTTCCTACCACATTGGGTATCAGTTATAGAGGGTTGAAAATAGGGACTATGCAATTACTGAGCTGGAGATAGGGTAAGCAAACAAATCGAAACCTTTGCGAACGGCCATTCTTGGTTTGGTTGGAGAGCTGGGTTGTAAGTAAGTGAATAAAAGAGGGACTGGAAGGAGTAATTACAAAGAAAGAAATCAAAAAATACTTACATAGATTTCCTGGGCAACACACACAAGACGGTTTCTAAACTATTTAAATTTGGACGTCGTTTAATCTTCCTGCTTGATGGAAAGAAAGGCTTTTCTTTCCAAGGCTCGCATTCTTTTCCAAGGCTCCGCAAGCTATTTCTTTCGAATCAATCTCTTCCTTAACTACACTTCACTACTTACTAACCAATTTCCGATGACAAAAAACGAATAATGAAAAACCATTACGAATTCTAAAAAAAAAATCCGGACTCAACAATGACCTGAATTCTATCGTAGTCTATTGCAGAATAAATCACTTTACACTTATTTCTGATAACAAAAAACGAATAACTAACAACGATGTCGAATTTGAAGAAAATCCGAACTCAAACAATAAAACCAAACGCTTTGGGCGTTTCATCGTCGAGTGATCTCATAATCTTCAAAAATCGTTCGCCTCCCTGCATAACTTTCTCACCGATCTAAGTGGATATTTATTTAACGCGCAATATTAAGCGGCATCATGATTAAAAGAAATACCAATGCATTTAAAATTATTATATACAGACCAGAAATGTTTATATTATCAATCCCAACGACGCAAAAGGATTGAGAAAATATTTCGGTGTTTTAATACAAACGAAAGGAAAATAGAAATGCTACAATTATTGTAGTAAATGTTGTAAATAAATTATATACTTTTAGTGTAAAATAAAAGTGTTTATAAATATTAAATAAATCTCGTGTTAAAAAATTTTTAATAGTAAATTATAAAGCTGTAAATAAAAGATAGTAAAATCGTTATTAATACTCTCATCAGATCACAAACTAAGACGAATAAGAAAGTTTATTAAAATGTACAATTACCGTTCCATCCTGTAAACATCTCCATTTTACATTAAGTATATTTTTAAATAGAAACTTATATTTCTCGAGCTGTAATCTCATTTAAAATTCCTCCGTTTCTTATGATGAAAAACTCAAACAATAAAGTAAAAGGTCGATAAAACGAATTGAAATTTTACTACGTATAAAGTGTTTTCTTTGGAGCTTCTTTTTCTAGGAATCCATAAATTTTTCAACTGAAATAAAACTTCAAAATTAAATTTATCTCTCTATGCATATCGCTTTATTTTATTTGCTCTTTTAAAGAGATGTCGAGTAAATATTTATACGTAAACGTTACTTTTAGACATTAAAATACATGTTACATCTTGGGGAAACAGAGAAGTAATATTTAAATGTATAAATATGGTGAACACGTAGTTGAAAGTCTCAATGTTTTAATATTAGAACTTTTTATCACAACATTCTGATGTTAAACTCTAATTTCATCAGTACTGTTAAATATGTCTCTTACTAAATCCAGAGACAAATTAAAATAATTACTACTAGGAAATTTACTGAAGTTTGATATATACAGGCCAAATTTACTTCTGGTTTTATTCAAGTTTGTTACCTTTTAGCAATTTTCGCATAGGAAATTTTGACAAAATTATTCGACTGACCTCTCGTGATTTAACTGTAAAATTTAATTCGCGAAAATTGCCAGACAATAAACTTTTATACCAGTCAAAAATATCGCTGGCAAAATTTCCTCTCTTATAATATATATATGATAAAATGATAAAATAAATTAAAATAAATTTGATGAAAGTGGTAAAAATATTTATTTAGTGTTTTATTGTTAGAAACTCAAAATGAAAAAAAAGTGATCCATCTAACCAGGATTTACCCTATGATATTCACCTGTAAATACAGATTAAAAGCATTCAATATTTTTACGACACTTTAGTACATACAAGTTCAAAAGTTTTAGAAGTGGATGTAAGGAAAAGAAAATATAAAACATAAAATCTTATATTGCTTATCTTCAAAACAGTTTCTTCTTGATAACATTTCTACCGAATGCCTTTCCAATATGTTTCTATATTTTTCCTTTTATCATATTGACCCACATTGTTCGAAATCTTTAATTTAGATAACTAACGCCATATTAAATTCTGTGTCATAAACCCTGATGTGGAATAAGCATCTTCAAACAGCTATAAACTAAAAGACGGGA